CAAACTGACACCAGTGTTTTACTCCCTCCGCCTGTTGACATTAAAGGCCATTAAAAAAAAATAACAAACATGTTATACTTACCTGCTCTATACAGTGTTTTTTGCACAGAGCAGCTCTGATCCTCCTCTTCGTGGGTCTCCTGGCCCCTCCCTCTTGCTGAGTGACCCCAGAGCAAGTAGCTTGCTATGGGGGCACCTAAGCAGGCTCACTTCTGAGCCACTGCTCTGCATGTCCATTCACACACAAAGCCTGATTGACAGCAGCGGGAGCCAATGGCTCTTGCTACTATATCAGCCAATGAGGAGGGAGAGTCTGAGGCTCTTGTGCACTTCACTTGATTGTGATGGGGCCCAGATAAGTATAGGGCGGAGGGCTGCTGCACACAGAAGGTTTTTTACCTTTACCCATCAAATGCATGAAGATAAAAAACCTTGAGCCTTTACAACCACTTTGATGATTTATTATACCCTTCCTCCCTCCCCAACATCAATGCCTTATTCCCCCTACCCCCATTCATCCCATTAACACCAAACACGTTTTTTTATTTACACACTAATACCAACACTAAAGCCAATGCCAAGGCATTATGATTTCTGCTGACCCCATCCATCACAGCAATCTTCCTCCAACTGGCCACCAATGCTAGATATTATTTTCCTCCCAATAACCACTGATCGCAGATAATTTATTTTTGCTCCCACTGACCACAGATGCTGGGCCCTACTTTCCTCCCACTAATCAATGATGCCGGGGCAAATTTTCCTCAAACTGCCATTTAATTCATGACAGCTGAACCCTATACAAACATTTACTTTAAAGTCCAAAAAGAAAAGACATATTTCCGAAAGTGACTGAAGGAAGAAAAGCTTATTATATTTTTCAGTGCAATACGGAAGGATAGAGGAAAGTGCTTGGCTGTTATGGTCTATGGAAAGGACAGCTGCTCCTTCAGAATGCGTGAGGCTGTGTTTGGCTCCAGCAGGCTTCTGACTCTGCATTACAGAGGAAAAATGCAGGCTCTGCAGCCTTCCATCCAACGCAAAAGCAGCACTTCAGTATTGTCACATCATTATAAGATAAAAATATTACCTGCAACAGAAAAGTGATACATGAATTATGGTCTGTTATGAAAAAAAAGAGTATTACAGTTGTGTCCAAAATTATTCAACCCCCAATGCTGTAAAGGGGTTTAGGGACTATAGTGTACATTTGGAATTGTATTCAGAATCAAATCCTACAAGGACGTTGTAACTACCCAAATGCAACTAAAATGACATCAATTGTTTATGTAATACAGTAGTAAATGGTTCTTATGTGGTTTTCTTCATTGCCACAATTATTCAACCCCTTAAAGACTACCACTCTGAAGAACAGAGGTTCATACAGGTGCTTTCCATCAGGTATTGAAAACACCTGTGGATGTCACCGAGCAGCAATCAAGCATAATAAGCACCAATTAGGCAGCTTTAAAATGACTGTGATACTCAGCTTCCTTCTAGACATTTACTGGTGTGGTTACAAACATGGTGAAGGCAAGAGAATGGTCCAGGAAACAAGAGAAGAGGTGATTTCTCTTCACAAAGGGCAATGGCTATAAGAAGATTGCAAAATGTTAAACATACCAAGAGACACCTTAGGAAGCATCATTCGCAAATTCCAAGGCAAAGGGCACTGTATTGAAACGCTACCTGGTCGTGGCAGAAAGAAGATGCTGACTTCGACTGCTGTGCGCTACCTGAAGCGTAGAGTGGAGAGAAGTCCCCGTGTGACTGCTGAGGAACTGAGAAAAGATTTGTCAGATTTTTCAGCCCAGACAATAAGACGCACACTGCGTAATGAAGGCCTCCGTGCCAGAACTCCCAGGCGTACCCCCTTGCTGTCTCCAAAGAATAAGAGAGTCGACTGCAGTATGCCAAAAGCCATGTGGACAAACCACAAAAGTTGTGGGATAGTGTTCTGTGGACTGATGAAACAAAATTAGAACTGTTTGGGCCCATGGATCAACGCTAATGTTTGGAGGAGGAAAGAACAAGGCCTATGATGAAAAGAACACCTTGCCTACTGTGAAGCATGGTGGGAGGGTCAATCATGCTTTGGGGCTGTTTTGCTTCTGCAGGTACAGGGAAGCTTCAGCGTGTGCAAGGTATCTCTTCAGTACCAGGAGATATTGGATGGAAACGTGATGCAGTCCGTCACACACCTGAGGCTTGGGAGACGTTGGACCTTTCAACAGGACAATGATCCCAAGCATACCTCCAAGTCCACTAGAGCATGGTTGCAGAGGAAAGGCTGGAACATTTTGGAGTGGCCATCGCAGTCACCAGACTTAAATCCGATGAAAAACCTTGGTGGGACTTAAAGAAAGCAGTTGCAGTGCGCAAGCCTAAGAATGTGACTACTTTGCCCATGAAGAATGGGCGAAGATACCCGTTATCGCTGCAAGACAAAAAGCTATGCTTCACGTTTAAAAGCTGTTATAACTGTAAAAGGATGCTGTACTAAGTACTAAGATTGAATGTCACTTGGGGTTGAAAAAAACTGATAATGCTGTGAGCACAGAAAAGACATTTGTGGTTATTTCATTATAACTGTTATGTTATATTTGTCTGACCTACAAGTGCCTCTTTAATGTAAATGTAAGCAAGATGACTGAATGATCAAAAGCAATGTCAAACTTCAGGGGGGGGGGTTGAATAATTTTGGACACAACTGTATATCATGGAAATAATACAAATTGAAATGCTGAGAATATTTAGATTTGGAAGTCAAGTTTGAAGCTGACAGTAAAGTAATCAATAATTTCTCTGACTGTCCAGATTCCTGAATACAATTGTATGTTGAACAACTTAATTAAAGCAAAGCAATTTAATGAATAACCTACACGTTGATGGCAGCATCTTCCACAGGCTATGGGTTGTGTACTGGAACAATCCCACTCCTAGCACTTTTTTATCTTTTATGATCAGCCATATCATCAGTTTAGTGTTTGCTGTTTATCAAAACCAAAAGATTCTATACTATGGACAACATTTTGTTTATGTAGTTTTATTGTAAAAATATACATAAGGTCCAAAACAATGTATCTTGCTATTTTCCTTAAAAAAATCTTAAGAAAAAAGAGAACTTTTTCAGAGATAAATGGGCCTTTTCTCATTTCCTATCATTATGATTTAAGTCGAAGGCAATATTGATTTGTTGGATACCAAATGTTATTTATTCTTTTATATCTCTACTAATTGTTTTGGTCTGCATGCTGCAGCTTTTTTTTTATGAGTGAGAATGAAGTCTTTATGAGTTCACTCTTCACTGCAGTTAGAAACATCTAGAGCAATTATTCTTTTAGTTACATTTTCAGAAAAAGTTTAATACAAACATGATACAATTTAGGGTTATTCTCTATGCACTTTTTTAATAGTACCCTATAGCCCATCTACTCCAACATCTTGCACCCCTACTCTTCAGTCATAGCTATTCATCTCCTCTTGTACTCTATGTGAGATTTTACAATAGTCGGTAGCGTGATTTTATTAATTTGCTACTAAATGTCTCAAAATCTCAGCTGTAGCTAAGCTGTGAATTTTAACAACTAACCTGCAAATTGTTATGGATGGAAAGACAGAATAGGTAACTGTGAAGGCATATATGAAATAGAACAACAGCAATACAACCCTTCCATACTTAAATTGTATTTGAACCCAAAAATAGAATTGCAATAAATTCTAGTTTACTAGTCCTTAAATGTAGAGGATGTTTTTGCTTTTTAAGGCTTTTTTCCCTTGATTTCTGCATGGTAATGCTGCAAATAAAACACTCCCTGATCCTTCCTGGCAACAAAAACATCTCTACCGAGGCAGCAATGGTTGTCACACAGGCTGGACTTCAAACATGTCTTCCTTTGTTCATATCCATTATATGGTGGATTGATGGGATTAGTAGCCTACGCAACTAAGATAAGGATGTTAGTGCTTTCAAGAAGGATTTTCTGTACTTACTGAAAATGTTTTTAGCATGAAAAACTAGTGAAGCCACCACATCTAAGAACTGGAAAGCTGCAATATATTTGTTTTGGGACTAAGATATTCTTTATATAAAAACTTACTTCAGATAAGTCTGTCTAAGTAACATTTAGCTGTTTCTGTCTTGTCTATCATGTGTTGTGCACCTTTATGTGATGTAGCCCTGAATGCATACAGTGGATAAAAAAGTCTACACACTCCTGTTAAAATGTCAGGTTTCTGTGATGAAAAAATGAGACAAAGATAAATCATTTCAGAACTTTTTCCACCTTTTAATGTGACCTATAAACTGTACAACTCGATTAAACAACAGACTGAAATCTTTTAAGTGGAGGGAAGTAAAAAACTGAAATAATATGGTTGCATAAGTGTGCACACCCTTAAACCTTTTGATTTTATTACAGCACTCAGTCTTTTGGGTATGAGTCTATCAGCATGGCACATCTTGACTTGGCAATACTTGCCTACTCTTCCTTGCAAAAACACTCCAAATCTGTCAGATTGCGAGAGCATCTCCTGTGCACAGCCCTCTTCAGATCACCCCACAGATTTTTGATTGGATTCAGGTCTGGGCTCTGGCTGGGCCATTCCAAAACTTTAACCCCTTGGCGACTCCTGGCCCTTTAAGGGTTTTTTTTAATGTTTTCTTCCCCCCCCCCTAAAATATTTCAGTTTGTTTTTCAATTCAGTTGTACAGTTTCTAGGTCACATTAAAGGTGGAATACGTTCTGAAATGATTTATCTATGTCTCATTTTTTTACATCACAGAAACCTGACATTTAACCACTTCCCAACCGTCCTGTAGAAGATACACTGCTACAGGGTGGCACAGGTGCACAAAATCACGTATATATACATTTTGCATTTCTGGGTAGGGTGCCATTCGCGGCCGCCAATTACTGGGTCCTGGCCAATGATTACTCGGCGGTGCCCTGTGATTGATGAGGATCTTTGATGGGAGGAGAACTGTATGTAAGCAATACAGTTCTCCCTGTCAGCTCATGCAGACTTCTTTGGATGGCTGTGCACAGCACAGCTATCCAAAGCAGTGTGATTACAGTGAAGCACACACACAGAGCTTACAATGAAAAAGCGCACAGCACACAGTTAACCCTTTGATCGCCCTGCATGTTAACCCCTTCCTGCCCAGCGCCATTAGTTAAGTGTCAGTGCTTTTTTTTTGCACTGATCACTGTATTGGTGTCACTGGGGATGTCAGTGACACCAAGTCAGTTCCCTCCAGTGTCAGAATGCCCGCAGTCCCGCTATAAGTCACTGATCACTGCCATTACTAGCAAAAATAAAAAAATAAAAATTCCAGTATATAGTCCGCCATTTGTAAACGCTATAACTTACACGTAAACCAATTAAATTACACATATTGGGATTTGTTTTTAACAAAGACATGTAGCAGAATACATTTTGGCCTAAATTTATGACGAAATTTGATGTTTTAAATTTTTTTACCGGACATGTTTAATTGCAAAAAGTAAAAAATATATTTTTTTTCTCAAAATTATCGGTCTATTTTTTTTATAGCGGAAAATATAAAAAACGCACAGGTGATCAAATACCTTTGATAGAAAGCTCAATTCGTGGAAAAAAAAAGACATAAATTTCATTTGGGTGCAGCATTGCATGACCGCACAATTGTCAGTTAAAGTAACGCAGCGCCGTAACGCAGAAAATGGCCTGGTCAGGAAGTGGGGTAAATCCTCAGGAGGGCAAGTGGTTAACAGGGATGTGTAGACTTTATATATCCACTGTATCTTGTTTTACTAAAATACATGAATTGGAGCTTTTAGGCCCTTTCACACAGGGCAGACTCCATTCTGATCAGCAGGGAATCAACTCACAGATCTCTTGCTGATCGGAGTAGACCGGGCTGAAAAACTGACAGGTGGACCTGATTGGATCTCCAATGTGTAAGGGGCCTAACAGAACAATTATTTTGTCAGTTTTCAGAAAAGCCCTGGAAAAAAATGCAAGTGTACTCTATCTTGTCAGATTCCATCAAACAACAAAGTCTTTGGGACATGAGTTTCCACTGCTATTTCTATGTGCTGCTAAACCTTGTTATAACTTTAAGCAATTTTTCCATCACCCCCATGTCTATAACCTAAACTGTAACGAAAAGTCTCATTTTTCCTGTTAGCAGACTCCCTCCATCTGCTGATGCCTGACCAAAGCAGTGATGAGACACATGGGTGCTAACAATGGTTGGTTCTGTATTGAGGCAGCGACACTGATTGGCTAGATTTACAAAAATGGCAACGTTTGATAGTGCCTGTGGATCCTCTGCCATAATTGTGCTCAGTAACCAGAAGCTAGAGAGAGCCTTACAGGTAAGTATGAGACAACTTTTCGTGGCAGCTAGGGATAAAGACAGCTTGGGGTGGGGCGTAAAATATCTTAGAGTTATACTAAGGTGTTGAACATAGAAACTTTTTGTATGCATTTACGCTAATGTGCACAGTCAGAACTGTTCAACACCTTAGTCAGAACTGCCAGTAGGGTCAGTGTATGAAAAATTGGGGTTTGGTGTAAATTATCTTAGAGTTATACTAACGTGTAGGTCACCTTTGGGTAATTTAAAATACATTGATTTGAACACGTTAATGTGAGCTGCCAGTATGCTCACTGTATGTTTCATCAGCATAAAACAATCTGACATTTACAAAATCAAAATTATTAAAATTAATACCTAGTATCTGCATTTTAAAATACTTGCTTCCCCATCGGTATTGATGACAAACATTTGGGATTTAATTATTTGATGAATATCATTCAGAAAACCTAAAATGCTGCATACACAGAGCATGGAGTCTGCTGCCAGGGGAAGCTATGTTGACAAATTCATTAAAGAAATCTGAAGTGAAATTGAATAGGCTCTTTGGGAAAAAGGCATACATGTAATTATAGGATTCTGAAGATTAAGGTTTTCTCATAAGTACTTTACCTTCAGATGTGGGTAATGAAAACCCACATAGAAGTCTTTCACATTTTTATATGATTGAATATTTGGCTTTATAATTATTAGTTTAGTACTAGCTCTCATTGTGTGCACTTAGCAAAACAGCCACAACAGTTTTACCTATAGTGTGTTTACAGTGTGTTCCGTTTCATCTATGGGTTATGCTGACAAAGATCCTTTGGATATAAACTAGGTGGGTATGCACCACTTATGAACAAGTTGGAGTATATCATGACTGTCTGACTAATGTTAACATAGAGAGATACAGAACACACACAAAGCAGTGTAATGCATAACGCTAATGTAGTAATCTACTTCCACCAATCAGATTTTAGCTTTTTGCGCTGAGCTCAAACAGTTGCCTGCACTTTATACATTTGTGCTTTTTTAAGCCTTTAAGCCAGAACATTGCAATACCTAGGTTTAAATATACAGTCAGGTCCATAAATATTGGGACATTGACACAATTCTAACATTTTTGGCTCTATACACCACCACAATGGATTTGAAATGAAACGAACAAGATGTGCTTTAACTGCAGACTGTCAGCTTTAATTTGAGGGTATTTACATCCAAATCAGGTGAACAGTGTAGGACTTACAACAGTTTGCATATGTGCCTCCCACTTGTTAAGGGACCAAAAGTAATGGGACAGAATAATAATCATAAATCAAAACTTTCACTTTTTAATACCTGGTTGCAAATCCTTTGCTGTCAATTACAGCTTGAAGTCTGGAATGCACAGACATCACCAGACGCTGGGTTTCATCCCTGGTGATGCTCTGTCAGGCCTCTACTGCAACTGTCTTCAGTTCCTGCTTGTTCTTGGGGCATTTTCCCTTCAGTTTTGTCTTCAGCAAGTGAAATGCATGCTCAATCAGATTCAGATCAGGTGATTGACTTGGCCATTGCATAACATTCCACTTCTTTCCCTTAAAAAACTCTTTGGTTGCTTTTGCAGTATGCTTTGGGTCATTGTCCATCTGCACCGTGAAGCGGCGTCCAATGAGTTCTGAAGCATTTGGCTGAATATGAGCAGATAATATTGCCAGAAACACTTCAGAATTCAGCCTGCTGCTTCTGCCAGCAGTCACATCATCAATAAATACAAGAGAACCAGTTCCATTGTCAGCCATACATGCCCACGCCATGACACTACCACCACCATGCTTCACTGATGAGGTGGTATGCTTAGGATCATGAGCAGTTCCTTTTCTTCTCCATACTCTTCTCTTCCCATGACTCTGGTACAAGTTGATCTTGGTCTCATCTGTCCATAGGATGTTGTTCCAGAACTGTGAAGGATTTTTTAGATGTCGTTTGGCAAACTCTAATCTGGCCTTCCTGTTTTTGAGGCTAACCAATGGTTTCCATCTTGTGGCGAACCCTCTGTATTCACTCTGGTGAAGTCTTCTCTTGATTGTTGACTTTGACACACATACACCTACCTCCTGGAGAGTGTTCTTGATCTGGCCAACTGTTGTGAAGGGTGTTTTCTTCACCAGGGAAAGAATTCTTTGGTCATCCACCACAGTTGTTTTCCGTGGTCTTCCGGGTCTTTTGGTGTTGCTGAGCTCACCGGTGCGTTCCTTCTTTTTAAGAATGTTCCAAACAGTTGTTTTGGCCACGCCTAATGTTTTTGCTATCTCTCTGATGGGTTTGTTTTGTTTTTTCAGCCTAATGATGGCTTGCTTCACTGATAGTGACAGCTCTTTGGATCTCATCTTGAGAGTTGACAGCAACAGATTCCAAATGCAAATAGCACACTTGAAATGAACTCTGGACCTTTTATCTGCTCATTGTAATTGGGATAATGAGGGAATAACACACACCTGGCCATGGAACAGCTGAGAAGCCAATTGTCCCATTACTTTTGGTCCCTTACCAAGTGGGAGGCACATATGCAAACTGTTGTAATTCCTACACCACTCACCTGATTTGGATGTAAATACCCTCAAATTAAAGCTGACAGTCTGCAGTTAAAACACATCTTGTTCATTTTATTTTAAATCCATTGTGGTGGTGTATAGAGCCAAACATGTTAGAATTGTGTCGATGTCCCAATATTTATGGACCTGACTGTATATGGATGCTGACATACACTTTGTGAGCGCATAAGGCATGGAGCTGTTACATATAACAACAGCATCTTGGGTGTGAGCAAATCCACATTGGAAGGCAACATACTGTATGTCTTTTGTTATTGTATAATAATGTGTGCCGCAAGACATACTTACAAGGGATGATGATATCCAACATTTAGGAAAGAAGAATGTAAATAAGGCTTGTTACCGGTATACTCCCTTTGGTGAAGTGGCAACTCTCTGTGTCTTGCATAATATTACAAGCATGATGTGTGATCTTTATCTAACACTGGTTTGACATATGCTAGATGAAAGGATCTTATAGATTACACCTATGGTAGCTGCGTACGTGTATTCATATTAATAATTCACTGAACATACCTATGGGACCACTACATATCTACATTATTGGAATTTGTTGATTGTCCATATAGATACATCACTGCTATATGACTCATGATATCAATATATATATATATATATATATATATATATATATATTATCAACAGTTAAAAAAGTTGAGCTACTATATGCAGTCTTAGTGCCGATTCACACATGTCTGGTTTCAATGCAGATTGCAACCTACTTGTTCAGCGGTTAGGAGCCAGTTCAGGTCCAGTTTTTGTGACAAAACTGTGGATTGTACTGTTCACAGGTTCAGGGCTTACTTGGATGCTGTTTTGCAAGGCTTTTTTGGTTTTGCTGGTGGAGAGAGGAGGGGGAAGGAGAGCAAACTGTGCTGAAACCTGATCCTGAACTGAAATCCTGTTCACAACTGATGACATGTGCTGTTTAGAAAAAGTCCCCATAGAAGTCAATAGCCTGTAATCCGCACCTGAACCAGACTGTACTGCTCAGAAATCGAACAGGACTCTTTATCAATCTGCACTGCCGGTGCTCCAAATATATGTGAACATGCACCATAGGAAGCAATGTTATTTCAAATATCAGGCAGATTGGATGCGGTTCAAACCGCATTCAATCCACATATATGTGAACAGGCACTTTAATGGAATAGTTTAGATATTGTAGTAGATGGAAGTGTTATGTTGGCCATACATGGATCAAAATTTGGCCAGTTCAGCAAGGATTAGAAAAATTTCAATCCATGTATGGGCAGGGGGATGTACAGAAGTCAATTTACCAACTGACTGCACAACAGCCCTGTTCGATTTACAAACTGATTGTACAACAGCCCTGTTGGATTTACCAATTGACTGTACAACTGCCCTGTTGGATTTTCCCCTCTGGCAGCACTGATAAGTGTATTCTGATGGTGAGGTCATCTCCCTGCTGTCAGCATACAATAGCCCAGT